TTTTTAGACATTGATGGGCCTTTATTTTATTCATTTACTTATATGTGGTGCTGAGAATCGAACGCAGAGCCTCACACATGCTAGGCAAGTGCTCTACAACTGAGCTACAGCCCCAGCCTGCAAGCACAGGTTTTGAAGCATGCAAAAGAGGACATCCAGGAGTCCAAGTGACTAGCAGGCCTGAACTTTTTGCCAATGGATCAGTTTGTTTTGGGCCCTGAACAGATATGAGGAGTCCTTAACCAAAAGGCAGAGTTCTGTACATTCTCACTAGCCCTGGACTCCGGAGAATCCTCTTAGCCTTGATTCCTGATTCCTTCAGAGCATGTGGCAGCAGATACTGGACTATCCTGAATTGTCAGAACTTGGCTTCCTGCTTCACCCAGCTGCCTTGTCTCCATTTTACATAGTTTTCAGTTTTGCCAGAAGGAGGCTGTTGTACTTTTTGGAATTTCCTGCACCACTTATCATCTCAGGCTGAACATAAATGATTTATCCAGGGAGGGTTATTAAAATTGACTGTAGTCTCTGAAGAAAGGATAGTTTGTCAAACCAACATCTTAAGACTAATTGGATATATTTTGCACGAATTGTGATTAATGCAAGGTAATTTCAGAGGAGGGCTTTTGCTAATTAATAAATCAATCACACTGACTCCTCTAGGTAGACGGAACTTGAAAAGTTCATTGCTGATTTGCTCAGAACCAGGATCCCATACATACACGGGCTAGTGATTTAAGGCAGTTCTTAAGAAAGCAAACAGATGATGCAACACCTCAATTCAGAAACAGGTTGCTTAATGTGTATCCTCTGAAAACTAACAAGCCTGAGAAAGAAACTGTAAAATGTAGACAGTACTCAAGAATATTCCTGCTTCTTGGTTGATTCCACCTTCACACATAGCTCCTGTTGTTATGAAGTTTCTGGAAAGATCACATAGAAGCATGATACTGCCACAGAGGGGTTACTGAAGTCGCTGAAAGCACCACACATTTTTTTTTAAATTAAATATGTTTAGTTGTAGATAAACTCAGTACCTTTGTTTTATTTATTTATTTATTTTTATGTGGCGCTGAGGATTGAACCCAGTGCCTTACACATGCCAGGCAAGTGCTCTACCCCTGAGCCCCAGCCCCAGCCCCAACCCCCCACACTTTAAAACAAGATAAAAACTTATCTGAACTGTTACAAACTGCACCAAAATGCTAGAGAACTTATGTGATAAATGCAGGTGAAAATGCTTTTCTTCTGTCCACAGAAAAGTTTACTTGTTTGTTTTTTCCTATGTTTATTTTTCCAGTCCTGGGGATTGAATCGGGGCTGCTTCCCCAAGGAGCTACATCCCCAGGTCTTTCCCTCTCTTTTGAGAGAGTCTGGCTAGGTTGCCCAGAATGGCCTCCCACTTGCCATCCTCCTGCCTCAGCCTCGCCAGCCACTGGGATTACGGGGCTTTCAGGCGTGCGCCACCACACCAGGCTAAAGTTTAGTTATTTTTAAAAAAGCCACTGGAATTATGATTTCAGGAAAGCACAATGGCTTGTTTTTCATATCACTTCAAAAGGGACATATATGACCTTCAACAGAAAGCAGTAAGTTATTCAAAGAAT